ACTCTCCATCTGTTGAGTGAGACTGAGACCATGCATAGTTAGCCAATTGGCTCCAGACCTGAAGCCTCCACTTGTGGCTTTGCTGCTTCTTGGTGGCATTCATGGGCAATTAGAGAATCAGATTCAATAATAAGTTGTAGCATAGCACCCATATTCTTTTGCTATGATGAGTCCCTGTCTGATTGCACAAAGCTCTGCAACTGCAATGCATGCAATTGGTTGTCTACCCAATTGGGTAAATAAAAAATAAAAAAATAGATTCCTCCCCACCCACACACACACACAAAAACACCTAATAAAAGAGATACAATGAAAGAAAACACAAAACAGGGCTCCGAGATAAAAGATTCAAGGCCAGCAAGTTTGTACATTTATTTGTGTAGACTGTAGACAACAGGTGTAGCCCGTAGCCGTAAGGATGGAAGAATACTAATCAAGGGTGTTTAGTAATAAGCGTCCCAACCGCAATGATCTTGATCTCTTCTTTATTCAATGCTTTGTAACTCTTGTAGGAGAGGTTCCACCGTTCCAGGTACAAAGTATGTATGAGCAAATTGATGGTAATTTAAGGTTTATGGGTTCTTGACGTGTAAAAAAACGATGCTTGATTGGCTTTGTGCTAGTTTTCTACCCATTTGGGACAGTCTTGGCCTGGCGGTACGGGCCTCTGGTTGCATTCTGGATCCTCATAACTTTAAATCTATTGTATTATTGGAGAAAAGTTGGATGGGTCCCTCTAAATGAGGCCTATAGCAGAAGACAGCATGATTAGATGACTGTTGGAATAACCATCAATTTTGTAATTTTAAATCTTTATTGGAGTTCTGATTGAACTTTTCCTCTATCATCCCATCTGTCAGAGAAAGTGGGAGAGAGAGAGATGGAGAAAATCAACATGGATCCATATTGAAGAGTGATGCGCATGTCTTCCATTTTCTGTTTAGCACAAGAGATTGGATTGTGGATTTATCGCTGCAAGCATTCAGTTCACTGTTTGCAGTTGCCGTTGCAGTTGCAGTTACAGATACCCAAAAGGAAAGAAATACTTAAGAAAGGAAACAAAATGTAGAATCATACAAAAACGTCCGTCAAAACACAGCAGCTCGTGGGCTGAAAGAGAAGGGCTTGGCAGGTAAGTACTATAATAATGTCAAATCAATTAAAGTGGGAGGAAGGGGAGGTCTCTCTCTTTCCCTCTTTGAAATTTCTACAAGCAGCTGGTCGACTGTTCATCATCGCCTGTCAAATGTGTCCTCCTGTCTAAAGAGTACGCACGTTAAAGTTAGATGATAAGACTTGTCTTTCCACCACCCAATCCACCGTAACATACGATCACTTACTGCTTTAACTGCTCTCCCTCCTTTGACGTCATTGTCCCACTAAAACATCACATCAGTCACTGAGCATTTTCACGTTAGGTTTGGTCCTTCTTCAGTCCCTGACTTCACTCACTGACTGATGGGTCCATATCCCCTCTCCCAGTTTTAACTGTAGATCTCATTACTTCTTCCTCTTGGATTAGAATCTTTTTTCCCCTCGAGATCCAAGGATTACTTTTCTTTGTTTATCTTTACTACCCCCCAAACTCTCAAAAAAGAGATTCCAATCCAAGGGTTTTATTGGGGTTGTGGGTGTTTTGCCATTTCCCCCGGAGCCTCCTTTTGCACCCAAATTTGGTAATGCAACTTAGAAGGTGAAAATAAAATCTCTTAAGCTGATATAAAATTTGTAAATATCACAATTATTTTCAAACAAAGACATAAAAAGGCATTTAGTTAGTATAAAAAATCATGTATTTTTCAAATGGATCATGCTGGTTTATTGATTTCTTTTTGGGGCACTCAGTCAGTTCTTTCACTCTTCCACCATACAAAAGAAATAAGAAAAAAAAAAAACATTTCTTTGACAGCAAATAATGTGTGGTCATTTCTGAAAATTTTGTGCTATACAACCAAAATGGGGATTAATCTTTTAATTTTTTTTATATAAATAAACATGCAAATTTTAGTTTTTTTTGGGTAAATTATAAATAAATCTGTACTATGGGATTTGTGATAAAGACCCTTTAGACTCTTTGTTTTGCGACAAAAACCCCTTACTATGATCGTGAGACAAAAATCCCTTCCGTCCAAAAAAAGCCGTTACAATATTTTTTAATCTCCATACTATCCTTATAATAAGTATTCGAACGATACACGAACAGCAGCTGTAATAGCTGATGAACAAGCATACTATATACATACGATCTCACGATACATTACCGGTATTTCATCAAAATTCACGGGTTTCTGAATTCTGATTGGCATAGTTCTTCTACAAAAAAGTCTTTAATCGGAGTCAAACCAACCCAGGCAGCACCTTGATTACTTAAAAAGGATTCATTATTGTTATTATTTTATGATGATTGATGATGATGATGCGCAGGAAGGTAGAAACACAGAAAGTCTGGTCGTCTCTACCACCATCCAGTTCTCAAACATATGATTGCATAAATATGCATCTTCTGTTTTTGGAGTTATCTATTTTGAGTTAATGGGTTCTGAGAAATGGAAGAAAAGGAGCGAGAAGCTCTTCAACTTCGATGCATTATCAACCCTGGCAGAACCCTTCTACATCTTCACCCTCACCATCTTAAGTCTCCTCCTTCTTCCTCTCTCATTCCTCCTACTAGCCAGGCTCTCCACTGAGCAAAATACAGAGCATACTGCATTTCACCCAAAAAATTAACAAAAATGAGAATAATACAAACGGAGATATGAAATGATCGAGTAATGAATACCATTTTAATTTAATTTAAATTAAGTATCCAGAGTGATGCAATGAGGATTTTGAAAATCTTGGGGGAATCAAACCTTGGCTACTTTTTCAGTCATTTTCTTCAACTCTGACTGGTTTTTTCCAAACCCATTCACCATATCTCCAAATAGAAGGAAGAAAACAGGCATGACAGAGCCATGAACCACAGCTCCTATGCTTCCCGCTATCATCAGAACCCAATCATACTTGTCCGCAAATGAGAAGAGTTGGTAAAAGGGAAGGCTCTGTTCCTTTTTCTTCTCACCCTCTAGCAAGTTTTTACCTTCTGTAGTTTCCGCTATTGGAGCCGCAACCGAAGGCTTCTGAAACTTTCACCTGTAGAAGGGAAACAATGTAAAGGGCGAGCAAATTCAAGAGCCTCAGAACAAACCTTGACACCCTCTTGCCAGTGGAATCTGAGGTAGAGAGGATTACTGCGCTGTTATTCGTGTATCGTGAGATCAGGGAAGATAACAATGATTTTTTGTTGTCCGAATTATTATAAGGGTAATATAGAGATTAAAACATATTGTAACAACCTTTTTGAACGGAAGACTAATAAAAGAGGGTCTTTGTCTCACAGTCGTAGCACAAGGGGGTGTTTATCGTAAAATAAAGTACAGGAGATCTTTGTCACAGACCCCATAATACCGGGGGGTCTTTGTAATTTACATTTTTCTTTTTTAAGAATGTCATTCAAGTTTCAGTTAATACTTGTTATGAGCTTCTCTTACTGAGGTCAATCCAGAATTCAACATTTTATCATTAACTTAATTAATATAATAATTTAGGAATATTAGGTTTAAAGATTTAATTCCAGTGGAAGAAATGAAGTACAACCCTTTTGGTTAAGATGTACCATCCATTGACAATTTGACATTCAACCATTCACCTGTGTCAAATCAAAAGAAAGAAAATAAAAAGGTAAGAATTGTTACTGCATTTCCTTGACATCTCTGAGGGGTTGGTGAGGATTCATCACCTACTCTCTATATCAATCTCTGAGATTAGAAAGAACAGCAATTAAAAAATTGGGAAGAAATGAAAACAATGGAAAGGTTGATGAGACCCAGATGATTGATGTCTAATATAGTTCTACCCACCACATGTATACCACGTCTCTTCTTAAATTTCTATATATTCTGCGCGTACAAGGAGACATCTTTCAGCTACCAACTTATTAAAGACCAGGTGTTGGAAACATGAGAAGAGGTTGAAATGGTGGAGAAGATCAAAGGGAATTGCTGTTGTTCCCGAGAGTAACAGTGACTCCCTGTTTTTGAAATAAGGCCGGAACGGTACAAAAAGTCCAAAAGGGAACTAACGAAACAGTACGTTACTGTTCAAAATCCGGAATATTTACTGATTGTAACCTTCCCCCAACACTACTTCATTGTTCTCGAGAAATCCAAGTGTGGTGTTTACACGTTGCTCTCTCTGAAGTCTGAACGCCTGAGACCCCGAGAGAGAGAGAGAGACTGACAAAAATTCTCCATTTCCTTCTGCAAATGACTTGGTTATCCCCATGCTTAAAAGGGGATTTTTTTTTTTAAGCAGATTAGTGTCCTTAAAGCATATTTAGATCCGCTAGTCATCGCATGGTTCTAAGAAACAGTTATGCCCATGTTTTGGCAAAGATGGGGTACTGTTGGGAAAACTGCACTCCTGTCCCCTCTGGTCCGTGCTGCCCATACTCCTGTTGTGAGAGCTGCATGCCTTAATCAAGTAGAAAAGAAAAAAAAATGGGGTAATATCAGAGCGAATCTAGATGCTAGAGAGGTGATTCTCTTCATTTCTTCTTTATTGATTTGTGTGATGACTGATGAAACCATACCCATAATCCCATGCAACCAGAAATTCAAAACGTGTAGTTTTGACATGAAATTCTTATTTCTGGACAGAAATAAGGCTTACTTCATAAGAAAAGTTTTGGGAGTTTTTTTTTTCTTTTTCATGGGTAAAAGCAATGGAGGAGAGTTTGGTCATTAGGCAACTGAGGCCAATGGGTGGTCAAGTCAGCAGGCAAAGAAATCAAGACTCTCAGCTCAGTCACACCTCACTAAATACCTAAAGTCAGGTGCAACAGTTTCCCAAAAATGACCTGGAAAATATATTTTTCTATTGGGCACCGGCCCCAAACTGAGATGCATTTAATTGGAGAAGGAGAAATACCAATCAGAGAAATGTCTCTTCTACAGGTAACAGCTCTCAACCATGCCCCAGTATCTCTCATCAACTTGCTTGCCTCTCAAGCATGAAGCACCCAATCCTTTTTAAAGTCTTGATAAGCCCCTTTCACTTCATTCCTTTCCATTTCTATATCTGCTGTTTTGAAAGCGTCAAAGAAAAGACTTATGGCTTCATCAAGCATCTACTCGAATGGGCTTAGAATTGCTGTGTTAATTCTTATATTTTCTGTCACTTCTCTACCCTCCAAACCAGGTAAAAGCCACAATCCCAGAACAGTTCAGACTTCTGTAGGTCTCCTGTTTCTCAGGACACACGGAACTCCACATTGGGTCCTTTTTTGTATTTTGTGTTTTGAGCTTGATAAGACTGGTATTTTAAGACAGGAATAGGATTCTTCATTATTCCACACGAGTTTTCCTTTCAGATCTCATTCTTGTCTTTCCCTTCTCTTTGTGTGTTTGGCAGCTGGGCTGGAACTCTCAAGTAACGATGAGAGCTTGAAGCAAAGAAAACTAGTGTTGGGTTCAAGACCTCCTCGCTGTGTTAACAAGTGCTTGAGTTGTAGTCCCTGCATGGCTACTTTGGTTATCCCTCCTCACCAGAGGAGTTTCAAGTCTTCTTCTCAAGGAGAAGATGGCAGCTATTATCTTCTCTCCTGGAAATGCAGATGCGGAAATAAGCTCTTCCAGCCCTGATATCTATGTATGCATTTGTGGTATGTGGATGTCCATATGGTAAATGATTAGCAATTTTCCTATTTTCCTTCTTTTGGATTTAGATAGAAATCCCAAGCACAAGTAAAGGGGGGGGGGGGTTGTTATAGGTCATTGAAATCTCTCTCTCTCTCTCTCTGTATGTGCTGAGACATGATGCATACAACATATGTTTCTACATTTCAGAGCAAAAGTCTGCAACCTTTTGAAACGAGAACTCTTTCTCTCTCTCTCTGAAACATGATGTGATTTGATTTTGAGGGGTTACATGAGAATCTGAGGTGTAAGGTCCTAAAGAGAATGAAGAGGACGAGATTCCGAGACCTTACTCGAAATCTGGCAAACATCTATCAGGATATTGTTTGAAAGATGCAATTAATGCAATTTAAACGTAGTGTTTATACAAGACAGACATCACATATCACATGAGTAGTTTGGCATTTAATTGAAGTTCTTTGTTTTAGAATTTTTGTTCAAGGAGATAAATCCCCGTTTTATCTATACAGTGTCAAGGCTGAGGTGAAATTGACACAATATTTTTAAGTCCACGCTATGTTGTGTTTGTTTCAAAACTCGAAGGACAGATGGGTGTCAAACAAATGGAGTACATTAATAAGATCGCTCCACTCCCAGAAGATGTCCAGAAATGTAAAAATCGCACCATAATCACTGCGGTCCCTATGCCAACCATTTTTAGAATTATTATAATTAAATACTGCTTTTATTATTACACTAATATATAGCTGAGGGTGTTTTCTGAGATACAATTTTAGCTTCGCTAATGTTGCTACAAAGTTGTTATATTAACCATATTTATTGCTCCTACATGAGTGCTCTATGTGCATTCACTTCAGCTTAGAAGTTATGATGTCAGCCTTTTCATATATTCTAATCCTATTAATGTTAATTATAACAATTTTATACCTAAGACTTTCGGCCAACGAGAAGATGTGAAAAGAAAATAATAATTTATCCTCAGGCTCTGTTGAAACAGTGGATGGAATTTTTTGGGATTAAATGTTATTTTTCCTCCTTTTTCAGTGAAAACTTTTTCCTGCTAGTTACTTCAAAACAAATTACAAGGGGTCAAAAACAAAAGTTTTCACTGTAAAATGGGCGGAAATAATGCCTTATTTTTCTTAACCCCGAACTTAAATTCAACCGGAGGGGCAGCCATCTTAAAATTTTATTAAAATCGTCAAGAAATAATTTATTCTGAAAATTCCACTGTCCATTTTGTGGAGGAACGAATAAACACAGCCTTATTTGCATTTTCTTCTATAATTTACCAAAAACCCACAGGAGAAATTGAATTTTTAGAAATAAATAATTACAATGTAAAAGATGATCAGGCAATAAACTACATGTGAAACATTTTAAATTTGTTGTATCTCCTTATTTACAATAGAATAAAAATGAAGTAATAAGAGAACAAATAATGTGTGCTTGTATATATTCAAGCAAGCATTTGTATCTTCTATCCTATATAAAATTGAAAAGAAAATTCCTACTTAAAAGCAATAGCTGTATGTTTAATTGTCATATCCATGAGTTCCTTTTGTTTTTTGGTAAAAAAAAAGCATATCTATCAACTCAAATATATACATACATACACACACTAAGTATTTTTTGTATTTTCTTTCTTTATTTATTTTCTTTATTTATATGTAGATATAAGTGGGACAAGGCATGAGTATTCAGTAGAAGCCCAAATAGAAGAAAAATGAAAATGGGGATCTGAGGCTTAAAAAATCTATAGGTATTAGGCCCTCCTCTCTACGAGAGAAACATTATCAAGATCGTGTATCTCTGGGTTGTGCTGTCTCCATTTGTCAAAAATTGTGTTTTCCAGGTATTCGCTTCAATGTGAAATTTCTAACTCTTGGTTTGTGAGTTTTCATCACAAAGCTGAGAGTGGGGGATGTGCTAAAATGACCTGTAATTAACATAATTACCATCTTCATCACCATTAGTGCACAAGTTCTTTAAAAAAAAAAAAACTCATTTTGCATGCACAATTCAGAAGCGACTTATGGAAGAAAAGTAGAAAACGTGTGTAACACAAGCATCTAAAAACCCTAATCCTGTTTTGACTAAAACAGTATCAGAAGATTTAATGATCCTGTTTTGACTAAACCCTTCTGACTAAAACAGTGTCAGAAGATTTAATGATCCTGTTTTGACTAAAACCCTTCTGCCAACCTTAAATAACTGACTTAAAAATAAAATTTTGTGTTGCATTTTGCATACAAATGTAAATTGCAATTGCTTCATGTTTGGTATTTTGGTCGCAATGCATTAAAGTATGTCTTATATTTATAGCCATTAAAGTAATGGCTGTAGTCTTTATGTTGATGTATTAATTTGAAAGATTTATGTGGGTTCCTCCGACCATTTTCATGCATATCTTAAATTCTTAATTATTCCACCGTATTTTAGTGTTTCTAAAACTTATCCCAGTGTATAAACTATCTTACGAAAATTCCTCGTGATGCCAATACTTTGAATCTTGATCGAAAGTTAGCTAGCTAGGCTTCTTTTAACCTCCAAACTGTTTTTGCAATCCATACATTGATGGCATGCTTGGATTTTACCATACTAGGAAGAGGCCATATGCTCCTCCAAACATATATCTGATAAATTTTACAGTTTGATTGGACACCTGAAATGAAGTGATCATGCCAATTGTCATTTTCCTTTACCTTTAGGAGCACAAGTTAAAGCCATCCAAGCAGGCCTAGGGTTCTAAACATGCAATCGAACTGTCTGTGCCTCCAATAGATTATCCAATTACTACTGAAGTACTGATTGGTAAATTTTGAAAGAAAGAAATCTCATTCTCACCATGGTCCAAATTCCCCTGGGCCTGGCGTATAGCAGCTTCTAAAGCCTAAACAGGTTTCACCAAAAAAAGGTATCACAAGAGATACTTGCTATAGTGGCGAAAGAAAAAGTAGATACACTGCCATTGACAATGTTGTCACTGTAACTGTCCAAGGTTTGAACACCGCAATGTCCGCATGCAAGTTTCACTGGAGTTCAGGCCACATGACCTTGCAACCAGGCTTCTATATATTTGGAGCACAGGTTAGACAACGTGCTCCTCTGGTAACTTGTATTCTTTCAAGTCTTCAACCACCAACTGTTTTGAATCTTGTTAAGCAATATCTTTACCTCCAATTGCACCGGTGCATCTTAACGGTTGAAAGAACTCAAAAATAAGCAAGAAGAGACAAGGTGAAAGACTTTCATTCATGATTCACTTTTACTCAGAAGTCAGAATTATACATTTGATAAGACTGCCCTTACGTGGTTTATCTAATAATTTGGATACCTTTATACCATGGGCCTATCCAGACCCAACTCCTAATACAAAGATTCTAATTTACAAGCCATACAAGAAATATAGACAGTAAGATAGTTGCCAAGACTTCTCTGGTAATGACGGAGTATCAAGCCCTGGGGAAAGACTTGTCAAGTCCATCTGCTCAATGATATGCATCACACCCATCGAACTGGATCAGCAAGTCATCGGTCTAAGCATACCTGATTTTGCAGTACCTTCAGTTGGTTTCCAGATGATATGCTCGAGTTTACTACAAAAGGTTTTGTAGAACTGCAAATATATAGATCGAAGGAGAGCTACCGTTAGCAGGAGATAAACATAAGAATGTGTCTTATTTAGTGGGAAACTGCTACTGTTTGAACCACATAATAAAACATTATGTGGCCAAATAGAATTAACAATCTGAGCATCTGATAGCTTCATGATGGGCAATAACAATAAATTGTTCAAATCGGATGGCCTAACATTTACCCATTCCCATATAGTTGGGATAAGGTTTGGATGATGATGATGATGGCCTAACGTTCAATGCATCTAACATTTGCCTTGACATCTGAGCAAAAAGTTCTACAACTTTAAATGAAATGTCATATTTAGCCTATGCTTCATCTAAACGGTCCTGACTGAATGAATGAATGGTCTATACTCATAAGTTTGCATCAGCCATGCGACAAATTAACTGTGGCAGAATAAATTGAGTGTGTTTCTTGGTTTAGCAATTTCAATATCTGTTCAATTTCAACCAGACCTGAGAATTTTAGAGAAGGCAAGTTCAAAAGGACAGTATTGGATATTCACAAGAAAAAGAAAGGCAATATAACCTTGTGATATTCAAGAGTATCACCAGAAGCCTTTCGTACATCAACCATGAAAAGAGAAGGAGCAACTTCAAAAACCTGAAAATGAAGCACGAAAGCTCCATTAGAAAAGAGGTGCCTTCACTTGAGAGAAATGCAACTATTAGAAATAGGAAGACACCTCTAGGGCAACAGCAAACTGCCCAGCCTTATTTGCAGATATTCCTTCAAGTCTCATCTGCAGCAAAGATTAACAGAGTACTGCATTAGAGACAAAGTCATAGCAAAGTATTCATAGTCAAACAAGCAGAAATCAGCTCACTTGAAAACCACCTATGTTACCCAGATATGGTGGCTGTACAAGGTGTGGTGTGGGATGCAGAACCTAGACTAAAATTTGAAGTACCCGACATGATATGACACCCTTGTATAGATATCCAGGCATCATAGTTGATAACAGCCAAATCTGAGCACCATTAAGGAACAGATGACTTAGCAATGCATGCGGCACAGATGCAGATTAACCACCATTTGATGGTCTCATGGCATGCATGTCCTAATCGGAGAATCCTAACACCCCTGCCTATCTCATCTTTTTGCAGAAGATGGCATACTAGGTACACTACTTAATTGGAGCAACATTTAAACAGATAGGACAAATGAAATGTCTCTATCCACCATAATATATCTTGTCCACTTTCATTTTAAGTCTTATAATTTTACAATCTGCCAATGACAACATATATTTAAACTTGCTAGCCCAGTAGATGAAATCTTTGGATGGAACTATATGTTTTTCCTCACAAATTATGATTTATGTCTTGCATCTAACTGAAACGTATGATTTGAGCAAAAAATATTTATGACCTCCTAATTTTGATTGAAGCCCTATTCTCAAATAGTAAGGTTAAAGTTGAGTAGCTGAAAAATCTGCACTCTTTTTGTTTTTTTTGTCTTAACCAGGGAATAAAAAAAATACTATGGTGGTTGTTATAGTGGCAATCAAAGCCATTACTTTCTTTCTGTTGTTTTTTTATCACAAACTCTTTCATGATCCTAACTAAACATTACTTCATTACTTCAATAAGGTTAGTTTATTTCTACAAGAAGAATAATCTTTCTCCCTTATATATATATATATATATATATATATATATATAGTGTGTGTGTGTGTGTGTGAACCTCAAGATATTTCCACTTAAAATTATCACCTAAGAATGTGAACCTCAAGCGTGCAAACTATATTCAATACATGCATGTTTTTGTGTTGTTTTCCGTAAAAAAATTATCATATCAAGTTTGCATAGATGGTGGTGGCTAGACACTTCTAGATTGAGGACCATGGCCATAATGCTTATATGCATCACAGGTCCATCAAGAAAAACCAATCAGTTTTTCTGAACCACTTCTTTTCAATTAGTTCATAGATTTATACACAAAATGGAGCATAATTAGAAGATTACTAAATTTCGTCCTTTACTGTATTTGATAGTAGGTCCATTTAACAGCCTATTATTGGTAATTGATAAAGTTCAGACCTGTGATGTTCTTAGGTTCGAAATAATAAGGAGAGAGAAATAATGGTGAAAGAGTACAAGAAAGAAAAGAGAAGAGAAGAGGAGAAGAAGAGAAAAGGTCTGGTTCGAACTTGAGAGTTCTCTCTCAGGTCGACCAGTTTTATTTATAGTTTTCTAAAACAATGCACAATGACTATTGTGCCCCCACTTAAGTGTGGGACACATCACTTAACTTAGGATCTATTTGTAACTACATCAAGCATATAAAACAATGTAAATTGACTATACAACCCCTCTATAGCCGACTCTAACACTCCCCCTCAAGCTAGTGAGTATGTCATATAGTTCCAGCTTGTTGCATATGTAATTCACTCTTCCCCGACTCAACCTTTGGTAAACAAGTCTGCCCATTGATTTCCTGTGTTCACATATGTTATACTTATCACTCCACTAAGCACCTTCTCTCTTACAAAGTGGCAATCAACTTCTATATGTTTTGTTCTTTCATGAAACACAGGATTAGAAGAAATATGAACCACAACTTGGTTATCACAATACAACTTCATAGGAGTGTTAATCAAGTACCCCATTTCCTCTAAGAGATGCTTCAACCACACTAGTTCACATGTTGTGTGTGCCATGGCCCTATATTCAGCTTATGCACTGCTTCTTGCTACCACTGTCTACTTCTTACTCGTCCATGTCACCAAATTGCCCCTGAGAAATGTACAATACCCTGTAGTGGACCTTCTACCAGATATGGAACCGGCCCAGTCAGCATCATTGTATCCCTCTATCTCAAGACTTCCTCCACTTTTATATAACAAGCCACGACCTAGAGCTCCCTTCAAGTACTGCACAATCCTTAGAACTGCATCCCAATGTGGGATTCGAGCATTCTGCATAAACCGACTCACTACACTATCTGCAAATGAAATATTAGGATGAGTGATGGTTAGGTAGTTCAACTTACCTACCAACCTCCTATACCTTCCAAGATCTTCAAACTCCTCACCTGCATCACTACTCAACTTGGCATTCGGTTCCATGGGTGTTTCAGTTGGTTTGGCACCTAACACCCTGTCTCCTCCAACAAATCAAGAACACATTTCCTCTGACACAAATTAATACCATGCTTGGACCTCGCTACCTCTATCCCTAAGAAGTATCTTAATTTGCCAAGGTCCTTTGTCTGGAAGTGATCATGCAAGAAAGTCTTCAACCTATCAATTCCTAACCTGTCACTGCTAGTGATAACAATATCATCTACATATACCACCAATAAAATCTTTCTAGCACTGGACTCATAGCTAAATACAGAATGGTTGACCTGACACAGTTTCATGCAAAATTTCTTCACCACTTCACTAAATCTGCCAAACCGTGCACAGGGAGACTATTTAAGCCCATAAATAGCCTTCTTAAGTCTACACACCTTACCATCCTCCCCTTGAGCAACAAACCCTGGTGGTAGCTCCATATACACTTCCTCAAGGAGGTCACCATGTAAAAAGGCATTCTTGATGTCGAGCTGAAACAAAGGCCAATCATACATAACAGCAAGGTAGATCAAAATATGAATGGAGCCAATCTTGGCCACTAGGGAGGAGGTATCTGTGTAATCTATACCATACATCTATGAATAACCTTTGGCAACCAACCGAGCTTTCAATCTCTCAACACTCCCATCAGGTAAAATCTTAACATACACCCACTTACAACCTACAACATGCTTACCAAGCGGAAGAGTGATGAGATCCCACGTATTATTACGAGTTAGAGCCGAGAGTTCTTCCTCCATTGCTTGGCGCCACCTTGGAGAAGGGCTTCCTGGACATCCTTAGGAACAAAGAAACAAACTAGCGATGGGAAGCAGAAAGGTGAGATACAGAAACATAATTAGAAATGGGATGAAGAGTGCAACCGCGCTTACCTTTCCGCAAAATAATAGGGAGATCAAGGTCAAAAATAGGGGGTGGGGATGGGTTGGGAACAACTTCCGAACCTGTCGATAGTGATGAAGCTGGAGGAGCTAGTACATGACGATGCGTATACACTTGCCGGATGGGTGGTCGTTCAATAGGAAGCTGCACTGGAGGCGAAGACTTGGTCACAACTGGAACAAGAGGAATGGGGTCCTCAACAGGAACAGGAAGTGGAGGTGGAGGAAGAGAAGAGACATCCGACTTGGAGAAAAAAGGAACACACTCAAAGAACGTAACATAAGGGCACACAAAAGAACACTGAGAACTGGGGTTATAACACTTATACCCTTTCTGAGTCCTAGAATAGCCAAGAAAGATACACTAAGGCTGCATTTGGAAACAATGCAAATGGAGTGTAAATCCCGGTTTAGGGTAAATTTGCACTTTGGTTCACTTTTGCCTGTGTTTGGCAACACTACATTTATGCACTGACAAATGACAAACCAATGCATATTGACATTCATAATAAGATGTAAAAGCACATCAAAGCATATGCTTTATTGGAATTCATCTTTGCATCCATTATAGCTAAAAGTCTGTTTGGTAAGAAGGTAAATTTGTCAGTGCAAAACTAACCCAATTTTGCAATTTATATAAACCGTTTTACACTCTACATATTTGCAATCATACTTATTTGCATTGTTTCCAAATGCAGCCTTAGTGGATCGAGCATCTAATTCGTCCATCCCATGACCAAGATTATGGACAAAACACACACCCGAAACCCTGGGGGTAATATAGTCCACCAGCTTCATGCCCTCCACCAATCTTCATCCTCGTCTTGAGATCCTAAAAAACACAAGAAGGGTAAAAAGTGATAGAACAATTAAAGAGACTTGGTCAATTTACTAACAGACATAAGGTTAAAGGGAAACTTGGGAACATACAAAACCTGGGACAAGGATAAGGAATCTATGTCAACATTACCAACACCAAATATGGAAGATGTGGAACCATTAGCAAGAGTAAAAGAGTGTGATATAGATGACTGAGAAAGGGAGGAAAACACACCTAGAGTCCCAATCATACAATCGGAAGCTCCAAAATCGATAATCCAATGGGAAGGTTTGGATGTCAAACAAGTCATACCTGAGTGTGCAAGGGTAGTCGTGTTCTACTGAGATGTAGCCTGAATGAACCGCTCATACTCATCACGTGGGACACTCATCATCTCCTTTCTGGAGGCATCCGTAGATATAGAGGGTATCTGATCAGTTTGCTGAGTTTCCTGTCTTGAACCACTACCAGTAGCCATTGCATGATTTACCCAGGTTGAAGGTGGGCTGTATAGATCATAACAAAAGTTGATAATATGTCCCTCCATACCACAATGTGTACACCTCCTTTAACCATTACTACGTTCTCTACCACGGGCTCCCCCTGAATCTCGACCTCCAATACGACCACCACCACGACTGTACATGGGTCCACCACCACCACCACCAAGCTGAACTTCCCAAGCTCCTCCTCTACCTCTACAGCCTCCATCTCTTGTTACTATAAACGTAGACCTATCTGATATAGTGGAGTTCTCCGTAGGTCCAACTGAGATCCTCCGGAGAGAGGCAAACACCTCTTAAAGAGAGGGAAGGGCAGATCCACCTAGTATCTATGCTCTCCCTAGTTCATATTCAGACTTCAACCCTACTAAAAATCTGGTTACATCCAACTACTCTCTCTATTGTTGCTGAATTTTGACACCAAATGTAAGTGGATGATACACATTGAACTCATTTTGAAAATTTCTCATATTAGCATAATATTCCTCAAGACTTTGATTACCCTGTTGCAGATTAAAATACACTTGGTACAGTTGGTAAACCCTAGTAGTGTTGTCTTGTCCTGAATAAAGCTTCTTTGCATGACCCCAAACCTCCTTGGTTGTACCTAAGAACATAAAGTTCACACTGATCTTGGGTTCCATACTATTCCATAACCATGTCATAATTTGTCCATCATCTTGCTTCCACTCATCGAACCCCTGAGAATTAGTTTAGGGTTTATCTTCCTTCACATGCTTCACCTTAGCTTTTAGAAAAACTTCAACAGATTTAGCACAAGGCACATAATTCTCACCATTCAGTTTGATAGATATCATCTGCACATTCAAGTAATCAAGGGGAACCATACACTAGGCTTGCATTCATTGTTGCCTCCCATAGCTGCTCAAAAAAAAAATGATCACTAATCTACCACTCCACCTCACTAACTAGTCACCCCGCTACACACCAATGACTGTTGTTCAGCAACAACACTCACTGTTGTTCACCACTTTCAGCAACAACACCAGTGCTGTCTTCCACTTTCAGCACCCTAAACCACCAGAATACACCTCACATATATAGTACTATGTCCTGCAACACATCAAAACTTATTCCTCACTCCAACACCCATGCAACCTACCTATTTGAGCCCACAAACCAGACGTGCACTGTTAGTCAACTACACCACTGAAATCAGCCCTCTTCAAACCATCAAATAGAGGGTTTTCTACCAACCACACAAAACAGCCACAACACCCCCCATTGGAGGCATGAAAACCTCCAAAACAAAAAAAAAAAACAATCACTTCTTTTCAGCCCTTCTGTGAAACTCCTATCGACCACTGAGAAACCTGCAAAAACATAAGAGGATGGGCACCGAAAAGAAGAAAAACTAGGTTGATCTGAACTGATTATATTGGCTCTGATACCATGCTAAAGTTCAGACCTTTGATGCTCTTAGGTTCAAAATAATAAGGAGAGAGAAGTAATGGTGAAAGAGTAGAAGAAAGAGAAGAGAAGAGAAGAGGAGAAGAGAAAAGGTGGTCTGGTTCGAACTTGAGAGTTCTCTCTCTAGTTGGCCAGTTTTATTTATAGTTTTCTAAAACAATGCACAATGAAAATGACTATTATGCCCCCACTTAAGTGTGGGACACATCACTTAACTTAGGATCTACTTGTAGCTACATCAAGCATATAAAACAATGTAAATTGACTATACTACCCCTCTACAAATGGCTCTAACACTAATAATTAAATAACACTTGGGAAGTTCAAGGATTTTTGGCCGTAAAGTAGTAGGTATTGCAAAGTGACTGCAATAAACACCTCCCCTCTTTGGTTTTCACAACACATGAACATTTGATGATAGATCAAACTCCTAATGAAAAATTAGAAACGCTATATCCAAGACTCAGCACACCAAAAGTGTCAAGTCAGTATTTTAACTACAATAATGATTAAAATCAAACAAAATCCTAAACTAGAAAAAATTTTGAAATTAAATAGTTTCTTACGAGCCAGCCAAATATGGTTGAAATTTCAAAATATTATTAAAAAGTAAAAGAAATATCAAAGTTCTCAAAATACTTGAAAACATGTTAGATATTGGTTCTCGGAATTCATCCTAGTTTCTTGAAATTGAGTTTTCTTGATGCAGCCAATTTTGTCTATATATCTAATCAAAGTTAATTCAGACATCACTGAGTTGAAACAGAATCCTCCAACATTCTATCAAGTTGTGAAACATAACTCCCAAACAGAATTCCAAATAGGGTACCTCAACCTTCTTTTCTGTTTTAGGTGGAAAAAATAGCTCAAGCACAACAATATCCAGGTATTAACAAGTCCAATCACAATTAGTTATTGACTAATCAGGTTTGTTTCACAGAATCACAGTATTTAAGGTCAAAACTGGATAATGAGAGAAGGGATGAAGGGGCTGGTTGTGGTTCGCTTTAGAGTTACAATTCTTCCACATACAAAGAGAAATTAAAAATTCTAGAAAATAGACTCAATATAGATATTTTAGAAGATTTAAAATTTCTTTTGTCCATTTAACAATATAATATAATTTTGTACATAAAGATAAACCTCATAGTAACAAACATTCAAGCCTTCAACATTCAACTATAAACCATTACCTTCTGGCTCATTTCCCAACAGGTTCACTTAATGGAAGTTATACTGCACAAGGCCATCTAAATGCATTTTCACTCAAAGAATTGGCTTCTCTAGATTCTAATTAGGAGTTAATATTTCATATCTATCAAATCTAGTAAACATCAAAGGACAACGTAACCCTCTTGTACTGACGAGGCAGAGAGAGATATGACCACATCAACAGAACAAATGAATGAAGACATAATGGAACCACACCTTCACACCTTGAAGTATAGAAAAGCATCCTGTTTTTCAACATTATCCCCAGTAATCCAAAAAGAAAAAAAAAATGTGTTAAAAGGAAGAGTGCAAGTGACTATTCAACACTTGGAGTAATGAACTAAAAGCTGCAATTTTGCTACAACTTTCCTACTAAAACACACAAATGAGCAAAAAGTAACTGCTAGAGGGTTTACCTTGTAGTTACGCGAATGGACCTTGAGACCCATGGATTCTGCAACAGCTTCAACGGTGGATGTAATGACCCTTGCCGGTTGACGTGAGACAAAACGAGTTTGTCGTTTAACATAATCCTGGTAAGACAGGTAAGATTTATTTTATATGGGAACATTTCAAATAAGATTTGTCTGATAAACCAAGTTACTTGTTTAACAAAACACATTAAAAGAAACAAGCACTTCTCCATTACCCCCACAATTGGAAACCAGAAGCCATGCAACATCTGATTTGTAAAACTTGAAGATCACTCTTTATCCCAAATCACTTTATCCATTGTATTATATGGTCAACATGCATGGTAATATTCTGTGTTATTAAATATGTGATGTTAGAATCCTACTTCAGCAAACACTCTCTGTAAGTGTGGTGAGGCTACATACGGGGGTCTCCTTGAAGGACGAAGGAAGACCAGGTGCAGGAGGTAGGCTGAAGGCTAGGGCAAATGAGAATGATAGAATGATAAGATGATTACAAGGTGGACCTCTATTTATAAGGAGAGATCCCGAGGTCCCGAAAGGAAGGAGCCAAAAGCATTTGATTCCCACTAGGAAAGAGAATATTGGATTTGTTGTTAGTTGTCAGGGAGCATTGCTAGGGTTTCGCCACGTCTTACAAGATATCTCAAGGATAAACTTTCCTTTTGTCCGAGGATTCTCATAATCCACGTGTGCTACTTCCTTTTGTGACCCTTTTAACCGACGTGGCATGAATGACGTCATTATTTAGCTGGTACGCCCATATTAAGCCCATAGAGCGTTCCGTCACACGCGTAAATTAAAGACACGTGTTTTGTTATGGACACACCGCCGGCAGCGCACTGCGGCGCAGCCATAGGCAGCAGCACGCCCAGCAGGCCGTACAACAGCAGGCACCGCCCGGCAGCGGCGCACAGCAGCACGCACCGCCCGGCAGCACGCGGCACGCACCGTCCGACAGCGCGCAGCATGCACCACACGGCGGTAGTACTAGGCAGCAGCACGCACCTCACGGCAGCAGCACCGCGAGACACACGCACCGCCCGGCCGCAGCAGTAGGGCGGGGCCCACATGATAACTCATCAGGGTGGGCCCACACTCATCTTACCACATCAGCTCTGCCCGCCAACTCGCCGCCAGCTACACCATTCCTCATCCCTTATCCTTATCTTTATCTTATCTTATCTTAAGTAAGAGTTGTGTTACCATTAGGAGTTTGAGTTCAAGTTGGAGTTTGAGTTTAATTAGGAATTTCCTTTTGTAATCTCCTATTTAAGGAGCCACGAATTGAAATAAAGCATTCAGTTTTCCAGTCAAGAAAAAAGTGAGGAGAGTTCGGGTGGTCTCTTGGACAAATCACCCAAAAGGGGAGTTCGGGTGGTCTCTTGGACAAATCACCCATTCAGTTTCCGCAATAGGGTCTGCACGCAAGGGAAGGCGCAAGGGAAAGCAGGGCTTTCTCCCCGTGGACCGACCCGTGACGAGATCCTACGCGCGGGCCCATAACATTTGGTATCAGAGCCAAACGTCACGGGCAATATGGAGCAGCTATCATCCAAGGTCAACGAACTAGAACATAGGCTAGCAGAAACCAGCATGTAGGTTCGTGAAGTCAAGGAAGATGTCTGGGAGCTGCGACGCCGGCTGGAAGCATTCCTCTCCAACAAAGAAGGGAGTTATGAGGGAATCGCCAACACAAACAGTCGTCGTCCGAACTGGGCAGAGGCATCCAGTGAACAGTAGATCGTTGCCCCTACAGCCGCAGTTATTCCCAAGGATCAGCGCACGGAGGATGAAACTGTAAAGTCTCCTCCTTTGGCCGGGACAATGTCACGAACATTATATTGGTACCTGCAGAATGCGCTCCTTGGTCGAAGACAGGTGGGTTTGGCGATGTTGCTGGGGTTTTACCGAAGGGTTTGGCTCGACGTGGACATAGAGTTATGGTTGTGGCACCACGGTATGGTAACTGTGCAAAAGCCCAAGAAACAGGAGTGCGCAAGAGATATAAGGTGGATGGGCAGGATAGGGAGGCCGCTCTTGAGGTTCTCTTCTGTAAGCATACCCGGTGCGTTCTTGTGATCCACAACATAGCACACCGGGGTCGTGGTCCAGTACGCGATTTTTGTTATGTGGATCTTCCACAAAACTACTTCAAACTATATGACCCAG